CGTACAAGATGGGTTGGAACCCGGAAGACACATTCAATGATCCACTGAGCCCAGACAGGGCTTTCCAGGGCCCGTAGGCTGACTGCTATGGGAAGCCCGGGCAAGGTGTTGCTAACCAGTTAAGAAACCCAAAAATAACAAGAGGGTAGAGGATAGCACTGAAAACTCCTGCGATGTGTACAATCACAGAGGCCTAGCAGAGGGCCACCAAACACTACCAGTGGAACTATAGCCACACTAGGCAGACCCCCACCAGGCAAATGAAAATAAAAACAAAAGAAAAACCCGCAAAAGTACACCGTCTCCAGAGGCAACAGGAACCGGTCGCCGCTTAGGTGGCAGGCCGCTCAACACCTTGACGCCCTAACCAGCAAAATACCAGCCGGTCGGTCGAGCGGACAGCACGCTGGACTTGTGATCCTGTGGTCCTGGGTTCGATCCCAGGCGCCGGCGAGAAACAATGGGCAGAGTTTCTTTCACCCTATGCCCCTGTTACCTAGCAGTAAAATAGGTACCTGGGGTGTTAGTCAGATGTCACGGGCTGCTTCCTGGGGGTGGAGGCCTGATCGAGGACCGGGCCGCTGGGACACTAAAAAGCCCCGAAATCATCTCATGATAACCATCATCTCAAGATAACCAGTCCTTACCCAGGGCCAAACAAGGGCCCCAAGCCCCAGCTGGCCCCAAGGGCAAGGCAAACACCGAGCAGCAAGAACCTCTACAAGAATGGTTCCCGAACGCCCCAGGGAAGATAACCTTGTCACGCGGGGGCAGTACTCATAGGGCGCTTAGGGAAGGAAGCCCCTAAGCACATGCAGCCCCGGCACTGATGAGGTACTCCTGGCCACCCCACAACACAACACACGGCAGTGAACGCCAAACAAGGCAAACAACGCCTAAGAAACTGAGGACAGAGAAGCGTCTATCCCGGTTGACATTAGCTTACGAACTGAAGCTAGGCAGCCGGCGCGGTAGGTCCGGGACTCCCCCTCCCCCTCTCGGGGCGGGGAGGGCAGCGTGGATGATCGGCACGGCAGTAAAGTGTGAAGCTTGCTTGTTTGCTTGTTTCCTTGGGATTGTAGGGAGTTTCTACCTCTCTGTTCGGTTTTTTGTTTTAGTTTTTTACCATGTGGGGTTTGTTTTGTTATGCCTACCTTTCTGGGTGCTAACCCCGGTCGATGGCAGATAAGGAAAACCCCAACTACGAGGGGGTTTTCCAGAGCCATTGCTCCCTGAAACCTCTCTGAAGGGGCCACGTTCTGGCGCTGGTCCCTGGTAGGTCTGAACTCCTTAGCTAATGTCTCGGTCTAATATAACATACATTAGCCTGATAAGCTCCAGGGAGCCGTTGGGGCTTCCCCACAGAAAGAACGCCAAGAAATTCCATACTGTCGCCGAAACGAAGCTCTCAGGTGGGACACCATCAATGAAGCGACCTGATCACCATAGAAATGGTGATACACCCACGTCAAAAAGACCAGATGCAAAGAGATGAGCAGAAGTTCAAACCCGCTTCGTACCGGACCGGTCCGACCTGCTGAAAAAGGCACAGCCACGGGAAACGCCCCCGAATTCGGACACCGAACGAATAGCACAGGAAACTATGGCTGGACCGGCCACCAAGGGGCCACAAGGACTACTCTCCCTGGAAAGGTCTCCAACCGAGCCTGAACCCTAGGCAACAGCTGGACCAGGGGGGAAGAGGTACAGGTAACCCCACCTCGACCAGTCCTGCCGAAAGGCATCCACCGCCAATGCCTCACAGTCGGGGAAGGGCGTCACATAGACTGGGAGACGCCGAGACCACGCCGATGCGAAGAGGTTCACGTCTGGGAGTCAACACGTCTGGCAGATCCAACGAAACGAGTCGTCGTCGACTGTCCATTCCGTAGACAGGGAAATGAAGCGAGACAGGCCGTCCGCCAGGATGTTGGACAGTCCCCGGATATGAACTGCACAGACAGCCAAACCCTGAGAATCCAGCAGATGAACCACTCGAAGGGACCAACTCCAAAGAGGCAAGAACCAAAGAGAACCCCCGCGGTTCAGGCAATGAACCACTGGAGAACAGTTCGAAAGGAGCTGGAAGGTCGATCCCCGAGCAACCCGAACCCTCCGAAGAACGAACCAGACTGCCACGAACTCCCAAACCATGCTGTGAGCCCGAGGGAAGGACGGATCCCACAGTCCCTGGCCGGCCTGGTGAGCACTGGTCACAAAGTCCCAGCCACGAGACGACGCATCCATGGGTGCATCCGTGGATGCTCTAACACATCGAGCGAAGGCTCGGGAAGGCGCCAAGGCACCGAACCCCTAAAAACCCTGAAGAGGAAGCCGGTGATGCAGCAACCGACACAAGGCCCCCGGAGACTGAATCCAACGATCGCAAGGGAGGCGGAAGGGGTGTCCCTGAAGGAACAAAAACAGACCCCGAAGCCAAACCCGGCCAGGCAGGTAGACTAGCATGGCGAAGTTCAGACTCCCACACAACCATTCGAGCAACCGCCGAGTGACCCGGGACTCCCTCAGAAACAGCCGACGGCAAGGCCACAGCCGCAGCAACGCATTTAGAGGAAGAGACAAGGAAACGGTCCGAGAATCCCAAACAAGACCCAGCCAGGTCCGAACCTGGGACGGAACCAGATGGGACTTCCTCCAGTTCACCAGGAACCCAAACCTGGCGAGCTGGGAAAGAACCATATCCCTGGCGAACAGACAAGCTGACCGACTGGGAGCCCACACCAGCCAGTCATCGAGGTAGGCCAAATCCCTAGATGATGCAACACATCGATGTGAACACATCGAGCGAAGGCTCGGGAAGGCGCCAAGGCACCGAACCCCAAAAACCCCGAAGAGGAAGCCGGTAACGCAGCAACCGACACAAGGCCCCCGGAGGAAGACCCCAACGATCGCGAGAGAGGCGGAAGTCATCTCAGAAGTCCCCCCTCACCCAGTATGAAAGGAAACTGCTGGAGAGGAGTTTTACGTTTGTGATAGGCCCGCCAGCATGCAAGATACTACAGGACACCATTGAGGACCTCAGCAACAGCTTGGAACACAGTATCAACCAAGTCTGGAGCAAGACGCAGATGGGTCACCACAACCCGGGTCAGACGCGTGAAAATGTGAGGTGCCAGATTCAAGCCAAAAGATAGGCAGCGAAAGCGGTAAGCGTGACGCCCCACCATGAAACCTAACCAGTCCCTGAACCCCGGATGAAGAGGAACTTGCCAATAAGCGTCCTTGAGGTCCAGGGACACCATCCAGGCACCCGGCTCCCGTTGATCCACACACTCCCGTTTCGGCACTGGAAACAGGCAGGAAGCCCACCTGAGGAAAACCCCTAAAACCTCTCTGAAGGGGCCAGGTTCTGGTGTTGGTCCCTGGTAGGTCAAAACTCCATAGCTAATGTCCAAAAAGTTCCAACACGTGTTATTATCTCTGCTACTGGCATGTTAGTATCTTGTCGTCATCTATCTGGGTAACTCAACATGGGCTATTTTAAGTGCAAGGAGCAATTGCAGGTCCTCTGTGAGCACCCAGTCATTACAGCTTTTATCGACTTACAAAAGCTTAGTGTGAATTGACAATGGGTTGTTAACAATAACGGCTAGCTACAGGAAGCCTCCCCCAAGAAACCTGTTAGAAAGAGCTGTTTCGCTACATTCTACTCTGGTTAATTTTTTGGCTTAATGATATATTGTACATAGATACATTACTGACTGAGAAAGATAGAAAGCTGTTGTACGTGTACTTCAGAGTGCAGTTTAGATTTAGGTTCCAAGGATCTAAGCATGAAATGTGTTCAAAACTCAGTCTGCTATTTATATTTGTGTAAACATTGTACTAGTCATGTTACTAAAAGGAAAACCAGGATAAATGGATGAGATAGTCCCAAATAGGAGAGTGCCGAGGTACTCCAGTCGTGGTACTCCAGTACTATAGTCACCAGTCTCCGTGGTGTAGTGGTAAGACACTCGCCTGGCGTTCCGTGAGCGCTTTGTCATGGGTTCGTAGGTTCCAAGGATCTAAGCATGAAATGTGTTCAAAACTCAGTCTGCTATTTATATTTGTGTAAACATTGTACTAGTCATCCTGGCCGGGGAGAATTTACTGAGCGCAAATATTTAACTGTAGCCTCTGTTTAACGCAACAGTAAAATGTGCACTTAGTTGTAACAATGATTCTTCGGGGCGGGGATCGTATTCCAGGGACCTGCCCGAAACGCTACGCATACTAGTGGCTGTACAAGAATGTAACAACTCTTGTATATATCTCAAAAAAAAAAAAAAATAGAATTGACTTATTATTGAACATTTTATGACTATGGAAATTTCTAAAGTGCAGAAGGTTTTTGCACGCTATCTTGAGGTTATCTCGAGATGATTTTGGGGCTTGGCGTTCCCGCGGCCCGGTCCTCGACCAGGCCTCCTTTTTTGTTACACATCCCCAGGAAGTAGCCCGTAACAGCTGTCTAACTCCCAGGTACCTATTTACTGCTAGATGAACAGAAGCATCAGGATGAAAGAAACTCTGCCCACTTGTCTTTGCCTCTGCTGGGAATCGAACCCGGAACCCTAGGACTACAAATCCCGAGCACTATCTACTCAGTCGACAGGCTCCTTCAATCCCAGGCAACACTTCAATCAAAGAATCATCAGTAATTTACCATAATACATTCTGACTTTCAACTCATTCACCTTAGGATGAGGCTTACATTCCTGGATTTTTCCTCAATATGAAACATCAAATTTAAGGAAAGAACCAGACAACATAACTCATCTTTAGGAAAACTCCCAGTATATCACGCTTAGTCTGTCTCCAATCCTTCCGGAGGCTTCATAGGCCAAACTCACTTGGTCTCCGAGTGTTGGAACACTCAAGCCTACGCTCTACGGAAATGTTGTCCCACAGAGTATTAGTTTAGCATGGCATCTACACATCCCTTTTACATATAAAATTTTTGGATAAAAATACATATAAAAATTACTCCTACATACCTCCATGTAATAATAATGTTGGTAAAACTCTTCCCTCTCTCTTCCGTCATGTTTGAAACTTAAAGAGGCGGCAGCTATGGCATTAGCAACAATGGCTGCCATTATAAGAAGGTAGTAGCCAGCACTAACAACAACCTTCATGCAGAACTTTGGTGCCCATCCTCGAGGTTTGTTGTCATCTACATACAGCAGTTTCCATCCATGGTCATCTCCAGACAAAATCTAAATAAAAAATTCTTCTTTTACAGGTCCTGTATAGACTCCAATATTCACATACTGTACAATAAACATTTGTGCAAACACATACTTGTATGTATGACTGAGCACTCACAAGTGCATACCTGCTATATGGGTCAATATTGTACAATAAACACTTGTGCAAACGTGTGTGTAATTGCCGTAGTTACAGGGTGAAAGTTAAGCTTGTGGTGTCCCATCTTCCCAGTACTCTTTGTCATATAACCCTTTGAAATTACTGACGGTTTTGGCCTCTACTACGTTCTCACTGAACACTTAACTCGTTAAGTGTGTGTGTGTAAATGAGTGTGTAATTCTAAGTGCTTGCATGCTATATGGATGAATACAATAAAAATACAAAGATGGGGCATTACAACTGTAAACAACAGATTGGTAAGTAAAATTGACTGAAAAATGCTAACACTGAAGGGAGACAGATGGCAAGCAACCAGCCACACCAAACTGTGCCTACTGCTGATTACAACAGAATGAGTGACATACTGGTATTACTCTTCTTGGGCCCTAAAAGCTACAGATTCAATAGTCTATGTCTTTCATCATTATGTATCACTTTAAAATAAACTGTATATCATTTGCTAAATTTTTTCACAATTCATATATGCATGATTACTTCTCTTATTTTTTTAGGTGCTTTTCCAATAAATTTACAGCTCATTTCACGTACAGTATTATTTTAAGTAATGCTTAAAATACTCTGTGTGTGTACTTAGTGGCTTTATATAATATACAATTACAGTACCTACTAAGAAACCACTGTAACACATTTTTTGTATATCTTATATATAAAATGTTGGTACCTGTATTATTATTATTAATTATTATTATTATTATCGTTATCATTATTGAAAATATCAGTAGGAGCCATGGGGAAGATTCAAATCTATGCTCAGGGTACTCCCAAGCACATACCTTAGACCATCAACACCATGACATGGTCAAAAGCAATGCAACCTTGGATTCAAGTGAATCCTCTAAGAGTCCTGAGACTTCAAATGAAGCCAAGTCAGGGTTTTCCCACATTGTCCCCATGCACTCTGGCTATGGTCTAGGAGTTCACCTCCAATGCTTCTCTTCAAATGCTTAAAGTAATCATCACATTACTGTGATGTATCAATGAGAAAATCAGTCGATACATCACGTTAATGAAATGTATCATGTTAATCTGCCCGAAATGCTATGTGTGCTTGTACTCACCTAGTTATGCTTGCGGGGGGTTGAGCTTTGGCTCTTTGGTCCCGCCTCTCAACTGGTGTACAGATTCCTGAGCCTACTGGGCTCTATCATATCTACATTTGAAACTGTGTATGGATTCTGCCTCCACCACATCACTGCCTAATGCATTCCATTCGTTAAGTACTCTGACACTGAAGAAAAATTTCTAAATGTCTCTGTTGCTCATTTAGGTACAATGTTTCTACTACCTGTGTCCCCTTGTTCGTGTTCCACCCATGCTAAAGAGTTTGTCTTTGTCCACCCTGGCAATTCCCCTGAGAATTTTGTAGATGGTTATCATGTCTCCCCTTACTCTTCTGTTTTCCAGGGACGTGAGGTTCAGCTCCTTTAGCCTTTCCTCGTAGCTCATACCTCTCAATTCCGGGACGAGTCTGGTGGCATACCTCTGAATCTTCTCCAACTTTGTCTTGTGTTTAGCTAGGTATAGATTCCAGGCTGAGGCTGCATATTCCAAGATTGGTCTGACATATGTGGTATACAGGGTCCTGAACGATTCCTTACACAAGTTTCTAAAGGCAGTTCTTATGTTGGCCAACATAGCTTATGCCGCTGATGATATCCTTTTGATGTGGTCCTCTGGGGAAAGGTTCGGTGTGATATCAACCCCAGATCTTTCTCTCTATTTGACTCTTGCAGGATTTACCTGCTTGATACCTGCTTGATGGGGTTCTGGGAGTTCTACTCCCCAAGCCCCGCCCAAGGCCAGGTTCGACTTGTGACAGTTTGGTCCACCAGGCTGTTGCTTGGAGCGGCCCACAGGCCCACATACCCACCACAGCCCGGCTGATCTGGAACTTCTCTTACAAAACAGTCCAGTTTTCTCTTGAAGGTGTCCACGGTTGTTCCGACAATATTTCTTATAATCGCTGGGAGGACGTTGAACAGCCGCGGACCTCTGATGTTTATACAGTGTTCTCTGATTGAGCCTATGGCACCTTTGCTCTTCACTGGTTCAATCTTGCATTTTCTTCCATATCGTTCACTCCAGTACGTTGTTATTTTACTGTGTAGATTTGGGACCTGGCCCTCCAGTATTTTCCATGTGTATATTATTTGGTATCTCTCTCGTCTCCTTTCTAGAGAGTACATTTGGAGAGCTTTGAGATGATCCCAATAATTTAGGTGTTTTATCTCGTCTATGCATGCCATATATGTTCTCTGTATTCCCTCTATTTCAGCAATCTCTCCTGCTCTGAAGGGGGAAGTGAGTACTGAGCAGTACTCAAGACGGGACAACACAAGTGATTTGAAGAGTACAACCATTGTGATGGGATCCCTGGATTTGAAAGTTCTCGTAATCCATCCTATTATTTTTCTGGCTGATGCAATATTTGCTTGATTATGCTCCCTAAACGTTAGATCGTCAGACATCATTATTCCCAAATCCTCTACATGCTGTTTTTCTACTATGGGAAGATTCGATTGTGTTTTGTACCCTGTATTATGTTTCAGATCCTCATTTTTGCTGTACCTGAGTACCTGAAATTTATCACTGTTAAACATCATGTTATTTTCTGCTGTCCAATTGAAAACTTTGTTGACCTCTGCTTGTAATTTTTCAATGTCTTCAGCAGAGGTAATTTTCATGCTGATTTTTGTGTCATCTGTGAAGGATGACACGAAGCTGTGACGTGTATTTTTGTCTATATCTGATATGAGAATAAGGAACAGTAGCGGTGCAAAGACTGTACCTTGAGGGACAGAGCGTTTAACTTCGCTTGGACTCGATTTTATTTGATTGACTGTTACTCTTTGTGTTCTGTTCGACAGGAAAATCCAGCGTCCTACTTTTCTAGTTATTCCCATTGACCTCATTTTATGTGCTATCACCCCATGGTCACATTTGTCGAACGCCTTTGCAAAGTCTGTGTATACAACATCTGCATTTTGCTTTTCTGCTAGAGCTTCTGTGATTTTGTCATAGTGGTTGAGTAACTGTGATAGACAGGATCTTCCCGCTCTAAATTCATGTTGTCCTGGGTTGTGCAACTCATTGTTTTCCATAAAACTAGAAATTTGATTCCTAATCACTCTTTCAAACACTTTTATTATGTGTGACGTTAGTGCAACTGGCCTATAATTTTTTGCCAAGGCTTTATTTCCCCCCCCCCTTGTGCAAGGAGCTATATCTGCAGATTTAAGTGCTGTGGGTATCTCCCCTGTATCTAGGCTCTTTCTCCATATTACGCTGAGTGCTCGAGCTACTGATACTTTAAATTTCTTTATGAATATTGAATTCCATGAGTCAGGCCCAGGAGCTGAGTGCATAGGCATATTGTCAATTTCTCTTTCAAAGTCTTCCGAGTTCGTGGTAATATCCGTTATATTATCTGCAGCTTGAATGTCATTCATAAAGAAGCTGTTTGGGTCATCAACTTTCATGTTGTTTATTGGTGTGCTAAACATAGCCTCATACTGGCTTTTTAGAATTTCACTAATCTCTTTGTTGTCCTCTGTGTACGTACCTTCATTTGTAATTAACGGTCCAATACTGGTCGAGGTTTTTGATTTTGATTTTGCGTATGTGAAAAAATATTTTGGATTTTTCTTTATCTCTTGTATAGCTTTCTGTTCCAATTCCATTTCCTCAGACTCATATAATCGCTTCAATGTTTGTTCTATTTCTTCGATCTCCCTGCTTAAGTTTATTTTCCTTGCTTGTGCTAGTTGTGTCTGCCGAAGCATTTCCGTTTTTTTTCCTTCTGTACAGTCGTCTGCATTCTCTTTCTAGAGTGGTCCTCTTTCTGCCCCTCCTCACAGGCACGTGCTTCAAGCAGACCTTGTAAGCTTCAGCTGTCAGTTGAGCTATTCCCTGTGTGGGAGTTTTGTCGCTTAAGATCGTCTCCCATTGAATGGTTGCAAGGTCTACTTTTTCCCAGTCAATCCTCTTATTGTTGAAATTGAATTGTTGAAATTGAATTGCTGATTTCACCTCCTAGATGGTACCTTGTGTTCAGCCTTCTGCTCCTTTCGCCTAATTTCATTACTTTACACTTTCCCGAGTTGAACTTTAGTAGCCATTTTCAAGACCTTTCCTCCAATTTGTCCAGTTCATCCTGTAGTCTCTGTCTATCATCATCTGTCTTGATTCTTCTCATAATTTTTGCATCATCAGGAAACACTGAGAGAAATGAGTCTATACTCTCTGGAAGATTGTTTACCTATATTAGAAACAGGATGTGTCCAAGTACAGAGCCCTGTTGGACTCCGCTGGTGACATATCGCCATTCTGATGTCCTCCCCTTCACAGTTACTCACCGTTTCCTGTTGCCTAGATACTTCCTTATCTACTGGAGTACATTACCTTTTGTTCCTGCCTATTGCTCCAACTTTTTTAACAGCCTTTTATGGGGTACTGTATCAAAGGCTTTCTGACAGTCCAAGAAAATGCAGTCTACCCACCCTTCTCTTTCTTGTCTAATATTTGTTGCGTGGTCATAGAATTCTATTAAACCTGTGAGGCATGATTTACCATCTCTGAGCCCATACTGGTGGTGTGTCACAAAGCTAATGGCTTTACAAGAATGCAAAAACATCAATGCTATATACTCTCATAAACCCAATGTACCTTCTTGCATATAAATAAATATATAAATAAATAAATAAATAAATAAATAAATAAATAAATAAATAAATAAATAAGCAAACAAATAAATAAATGTGATTTCCTTGAGCATTTGAAGAGAAGCATTGGAGGTAAACTCCTAGACCACACCCTGAGTGCAAGGGGCCAATGCGGGAAAATCCTGACTTGCCTTCAGTTGAAGGTTTAAAATCCTTTGAGTATTTATTTGAATACTAGATTGCACAGCTATTGACCATCTTGTGGTGTTGTGGTCTAAGGCGTGTGCTTACAAGTACCCAGAGCATAGTTCTGAATCCTCCTTATGGCTCCTAGTGATTTTCTCATTGATACATCACATTAATGTGACTTTTTTGTGCATTATTATTATTATTATCAATGGGAGCAATCAAAGATTTCCTAACTCAAGCAAGTTTCATTTAACTCGATGCACTATGCAAGGTATTCAATCTCCACAAACATTTATTTCCTGCAGAAACAACCCTTTATCAGCTAACTATTGTGCATAGCTTGCATCAAATATAACAGTTTTAAGTGTATGTCGCACTCCGTTGCTACAATTTTCTATACTCCTGGAGATGTAGGCAATGCTGTTAGGGGTTAAACAAGGGTAGCCAAGGTTCTCTTAAGTATGCTTACCTATCAGTGACTACGAGGTAGGGAGATCTAGCTCTTTATGCCCTTCCTCCTAGCCATTATACCTGGCAAGCTAAATACCTCTCTCAACATTAACGTTTTCACCATATTTCTTTTTAAAATTGTGTTTGTAATTGGCTTCAACAAACTTTTCATTCAATGCGCTCCACTTGCCGACCATCGATACAGGGGACGAGAACTTTCTTACATCTCTTTCACTCTACTGCAGGTCCAGCTTCCACTGATGTCCCCCTGTTCCTACAGCATTTTAATTTAAATACCCTTCTTTTATCCACTTTATTCTCCTTGAGGTCTTGTATGTAGTCATCATGTTGACCAAGTTTCTTCCTTCCTCTAAGGCTGTGAGGCTGAGTTCTCTCAACCTGTCTTCATAGCTGAGGCCTCTCAATTCAGGTACTAATATATGGGTAATAGAATGATGCAAACTTTCTTTTGTTTGTTGCAAGAAAGAAGTACTGGTAATATTTCCTTACCAGAAGTACTGGTAATATTAGCAGGTGATGGTGACAATAATTAGAACTGGTAAATAAATGATGTATGGTGACAGAAGGTATTAGAGTGAATAAATACATAGACCTCATCTGAGAGATTAGCTTAGTATTTGTCAGACATAATTCGGATAAGATTATTTTAAATTAATCTGCTCAATTTCAAATAAGATGAAGTACTGTACTGATAATAACTGGATTGATGATTACGTACTTGAGTCGTGGCTTCTTGTTGAATATGTCCTCGGATTCCCCATATCTGTTGAAACTGCACGCGCATTTCATTGAAAGTTTCAGTGATAACAGCAATGAAAACGTTCTTGACAAGCCACGAGAGGAAGAAGATCATAGTAGTGAAGAAAAATGTTGCACGCCACCCAGGCAAGGAATCAATGGCCTGGTACATAATAATCACCCAACCTTCCTGGGATGCAGCTTGATAAACTGTAAAGATACTTGTGGCTGCAAAGAAATTGTTAAGAATACAAATTATTTTCTAGACATCAAACACATGTGAATAATCAGTAATTAAATCATTGCAGCAAATGTTATTAGAAAGAAACTAGCAAAAATATAATATACAAGGCAAGTACTGTAATTGGTTTATTGTTACCATAGAAATGTTACACAGTTTAATGAGTACAATCACTTACCAAAATCACTGAAACCATTAAATCCACTGACTTTCTTGGCTAGCTTAAGAGGTATACATTTCATTCCTCTGGGACACTGATATCCCGAGTCTGCTTCAGTTGAGCAGTAAGTGTCAGGAATTGCCAAACTGTTCAAAGTACTGATGTTCCTGTGAAATTATACACGATGTAAACATAAAATGAGAGACTTATTAGAAAATAATACTGAAGAGTGACTCAAAATCAATGAAATACCTGTACACCATACTGTAATATTTATAACAATTGAACAATATTGCTAGTCAACCTCCATCCCTTCTCACTAGTTCCCCTGAGCATATGCACTACACTAAGAGAACAAAACCAAAATTAAATGCAATGAAACTCCTCTTTCCAGTGAATCCCATGTTACCTCCACACAGCTGTGTGCTCTCTTGTTGCTGGGCTGTGTGCACAGTTGTTGCTGGGCTGTGTGCCCAGTTGTTGCTGGGCTGTGTGCACAGTTGTTGCTGGGCTGTGTGCACAGTTGTTGCTGGGCTGTGTGGCCAGTTGTTACTGGGCTGTGTGCACAGTTGTTGCTGGGCTGTGTGCACAGTTGTTGCTGGGCTGTGTGGCCAGTTGTTACTGGGCTGTGTGCCCAGTTGTCGCTGGGCTGTGTCCCTGGTTGTTGCTTCTGGGCTCTGTGCCCAGTTGTTGCTGGGCTGTGTGCCCAGTTGTTGCTGGGCTGTGTGCCCAGTTGTTGCTGGGCTGTGTGCCCAGTTGTTGCTGGGCTGTGTGACCGGTCGTTGCTTCTGGGTTGCGTTCCCGGTCGTCGCTTCTGGGTTGCGTTCCCGGTCGTCGCTTCTGGGTTGCGTTCCCGGTCGTCGCTTCTGGGCCGAGTGCCCGGCCGTCGCTTCTGGGCCGAGTGCCCGGCTGTCGCTTCTGGGCCGAGTGCCCGGCTGTCGCTTCTGGGCCGAGTGCCCGGCTGTCGCTTCTGGGCCGAGTGCCCGGCTGTCGCTTCTGGGCCGAGTGCCCGTCTGTCACTTCTGGGCCGAGTGCCCGGCTGTCGCTTCTGGGCCGAGTGCCCGGCTGTCGCTTCTGGGCCGAGTGCCCGGCTGTCGCTTCTGGGCCGAGTGCCCGGCTGTCGCTTCTGGGCCGAGTGCCGGCTGTCGCTTCTGGGCCGAGTGCCCGGCTGTCGCTTCTGGGCCGAGTGCCCGGCTGTCGCTTCTGGGCCGAGTGCCCGGCTGTCGCTTCTGGGCCGAGTGCCCGGCTGTCGCTTCTGGGCCGAGTGCCCGGCTGTCGCTTCTGGGCCGAGTGCCCGGCTGTCGCTTCTGGGCCGAGTGCCCGGCTGTCGCTTCTGGGCCGAGTGCCCGGCTGTCGCTTCTGGGCCGAGTGCCCGGCTGTCGCTTCTGGCCCGAGTGCCCGGCTGTCGCTTCTGGGCCGAGTGCCCGGCTGTCGCTTCTGGGCCGAGTGCCCGGCTGTCGCTTCTGGGCAGAGTGCCCGGCTGTCGCTTCTGGGCCGAGTGCCCGGCTGTCGCTTCTGGGCCGAGTGCCCGGCTGTCGCTTCTGGGCCGAGTGCCCGGCTGTCGCTTCTGGGCCGAGTGCCCGGCTGTCGCTTCTGGGCCGAGTGCCCGGCTGTCGCTTCTGGGCCGAGTGCCCGGCTGTCGCTTCTGGGCCGAGTGCCCGGCTGTCGCTTCTGGGCCGAGTGCCCGGCTGTCGCTTCTGGGCCGAGTGCCCGGCTGTCGCTTCTGGGCCGAGTGCCCGGCTGTCGCTTCTGGGCCGAGTGCCCGGCTGTCGCTTCTGGGCCGAGTGCCCGGCTGTCGCTTCTGGGCCGAGTGCCCGGCTGTCGCTTCTGGGCCGAGTGCCCGGCTGTCGCTTCTGGGCCGAGTGCCCGGCTGTCGCTTCTGGGCCGAGTGCCCGGCTGTCGCTTCTGGGCCGAGTGCCCGGCTGTCGCTTCTGGGCCGAGTGCCCGGCTGTCGCTTCTGGGCCGAGTGCCCGGCTGTCGCTTCTGGGCCGAGTGCCCAGCTGTCGCTTCTGGGCCGAGTGCCCGGCTGTCGCTTCTGGGCCAAGTGCCCGGCTGTCGCTTCTGGGCCGAGTGCCCGGCTGTCTTGAGGTTATCTTGAGGTTATCACGAGATGATTTCGGGGCTTTTAATGTCCCCGCGGCCCGGTCCTCGACCAGGCCTCCACCCCCAGGAAGCAGCCCGTGACAGTTGACTAACACCCAGGTACCTATTTTACTGCTAGGTAACAGGGGCATAGGGTGAAAGAAACTCTGCCCATTGTTTCTCGTCGGCGCCTGGGATTGAACCCAGGACCACAGGATCACAAGTCCAGTGTGCTGTCGCTTCTGGGCCGAGTGCCCGGCTGTCGCTTCTGGGCTCTGTGCCCGGCTGTCGCTTCTGGGCTCTGTGCCCGGCTCTCGCTTCTGGGCTCTGTGCCCGGCTGTCGCTTCTGGGCTCTGTGCCCGGCTGTCGCTTCTGGGCTCTGTGCCCGGCTGTCGCTTCTGGGCTCTGTGCCCGGCTGTCGCTTCTGGGCTCTGTGCCCGGCTCTCGCTTCTGGGCTGTGTGCCCGGCTCTCACTTCTGGGCTGTGTGCCCGGCTGTCGCTTCTGGGCTGTGTGCCCGGCTGTCGCTTCTGGGCTGTGTGCCCGGCTGTTGCTTCTGGGCTGTGTGCCCGGCTGTCGCTTCTGGGCTGTGTGCCCGGCTGTCGCTTCTGGGCTGTGTGCCCGGCTGTCGCTTCTGGGCTGTGTGCCCGGCTGTCGCTTCTGGGCTGTGTGCCCAGCTGTCGCTTCTGGGCTGTGTGCCCGGCTGTCGCTTCTGGGCTGTGAGCCCGGCTGTCGCTTCTGGGCTGTGTGCCCGGCTGTCGCTTCTGGGCTGTGTGCCCGGCTGTCGCTTCTGGGCTGTGTGCCCGGCTGTCGCTTCTGGGCTGTGTGCCCGGCTGTCGCTTCTGGGCTGTGTGCCCGGCTGTCCCTTCTGGGCTGAGTGCCCGGCTGTCGCTTCTGGGCTGTGTGCCCGGCTGTTGCTTCTGGGCTGTGTGCCCGGCTGTCGCTTCTGGGCTGTGTGCCCGGCTGTCCCTTCTGGGCTGAGTGCCCGGCTGTCGCTTCTGGGCTGTGTGCCCTGTTGTTGCTGGGCTGTGTGCCCGGTGGTTGCTTCTGGGCTGTGTGCCCGGTGGTTGCTTCAGGGCCTTGTGCCCAGTTTTTGCTGGGCTGTTTGCCCAGTTGTTGCTGGGCTGTGTGCCCAGTTGTTATTGGGCTGTGTGCCCAGTTGTTGCTGGGCTGTATGCCCAGTTGTTGCTGGGCTGTGTGCCCGGTGGTTGCTGGGCTGTGTGCCCGGTGGTTGCTGGGCTGTGTGCCCGGTGGTTGCTGGGCTGTGTGCCCGGTGGTTGCTGGGCTGTGTGCCCGGTGGTTGCTGGGCTGTGTGCCCGGTGGTTGCTGGGCTGTGTGCCCGGTGGTTGCTGGGCTGTGTGCCCGGTGGTTGCTGGGCTGTGTGCCCGGTGGTTGCTGGGCTGTGTGCCCGGTGGTTGCTGGGCTGTGTGCCCGGTGGTTGCTGGGCTGTGTGCCCGGTGGTTGCTGGGCTGTGTGCCCGGTGGTTGCTGGGCTGTGTGCCCGGTGGTTGCTGGGCTGTGTGCCCGGTGGTTGCTGGGCTGTGTGCCCGGTGGTTGCTGGGCTGTGTGCCCGGTGGTTGCTGGGCTGTGTGCCCGGTTGTTGCTGGGCTGTGTGCCCGGTTGTTGCTGGGCTGTGTGCCCAGTTGTTGCTGGGTTGTGTGCCCAGTTGTTGCTGGACTGTGTACCCGGTTGTTGCTGGGCTGTGTGCCCGGTTGTTGCTGGGCTGTGTGCCCGGTTGTTGCTGGGCTGTGTGCCCGGTTGTTGCTGGGCTGTGTGCCCAGTTGTTGCTGGGTTGTGTGCCCAGTTGTTGCTGGACTGTGTACCCGGTTGTTGCTGGGCTGTGTGCCCGGTTGTTGCTGGGCTGTGTGCCCGGTTGTTGCTGAGCTGTGTGCCCTGTTGTTGCTGAACTGTGTGCCCGGTTGTTGCTGGGCTGTGTGCCCTGTTGTTGCTGGGCTGTGTGCCCGGTTGTTGCTGGGCTGTGTGCCCGGTTGTTGCTGGGCTGTGTGCCCGGTTGTTGCTGGGCTGTGTGCCCGGTTGTTGCTGGGCTGTGTGCCCGGTTGTTGCTGGGCTGTGTGCCCGGTTGTTGCTGGGCTGTGTGCCCGGTTGTTGCTGGGCTCTGTGCCCGGTTGTTGCTGAACTGTGTGCCCGGTTGTTGCTGAACTGTGTGCCCGGTTGTTGCTGGGCTGTGTGCCCTGTTGTTGCTGGGCTCTGTGCCCGGTTGTTGCTGAACTGTGTGCCCAGTTGTTGCTGAAGTGTGTGCCCGGTTGTTGCTGGACTGTGTGCCCGGTTGTTACTGGGCTGTGTGCCCAGCTGCTACTGGGCGGTGTCCCCAGCTGCTACTGGGCGGTGTCCCCAGCTGCTACTGGGCTGTGAGCCTGGGCTGTGAGCCTGGGCTCTGTACCCGGTTGTTGCTGGGATGTGTGCCCGGTTGTTACTGGGCTGTGTGCCCAGCTGCTACTGGGCTGTGAGCCTGGGCTCTGTGCCCGGTTGTTGCTGAACTGTGTGCCCGGTTGTTTCTGGGTTGTGTGCCCGGTTATTGCTGGACTGTGTGCCCGGTTGTGGCTGGACTGTGTGCCCGGTTGTTGCTGGGCTGTGTGCCCAGCTGCTACTGGGCTGTGTGCCCAGCTGCTAATGGACTGTGTGCCCAGCTGCTACTATGGTGTGTGTCCAGCTGCTACTGGGATGTGTGCCCAGCTGCTACTGGGATGTGTGCCCAACTGCTACTGGGATGTGTGCCCAGCTGCTACTGGGATGTGTGCCCAGCTGCTACTGAGATGTGTGCCCAGCTGCTACTGAGATGTGTGCCCAGCTGCTACTGAGATGTGTGCCCAGCTGCTACTGAGATGTGTGCCCAGCTGCTACTGAGATGTGTGCCCAGCTGCTAATGGGATGTGTGCTCAGCTCTCATGGGATGTGTGCCCAGCTGCTAATGGGATGTGTGCCCAGCTGCTAATGGGATGTGTGCCCAGCTGCTAATGGGATGTGTGCCCAGCTGCTACTGGGATGTGTGCCCAGCTGCTAATGGGATGTGTGCCCAGCTGCTACTGGGATGTGTGCCCAGCTGCTACTGGGATGTGTGCCCAGCTGCTAATGGGATGTGTGCCCAGCTGCTAATGGGATGTGTGCTCAGCTCTCATGGGATGTGTGCCCAGCTGCTAATGGGATGTGTGCCCAGCTGCTAATGGGATGTGTGCCCAGCTGCTAATGGGATGTGTGCCCAGCTGCTACTGGGATGTGTGCCCAGCTGCTACTGGGATGTGTGCCCAGCTGCTAATGGGATGTGTGCCCAGCTGCTAATGGGATGTGTGCCCAGCTGCTAATGGGATGTGTGCTCAGCTCTCATGGGATGTGTGCCCAGCTGCTAATGGGATGTGTGCCCAGCTGCTAATGAGATGTGTGCCCAGCTGCTACTGGGATGTGTGCCCAGCTGCTACTGGGATGTGTGTGCCCAGCTGCTACTGGGATGTGTGCCCAGCTGCTACTGGGATGTGTGCCCAGCTGCTACTGGGATGTGTGCCCAGCTGCTACTGGCATGTGTGCCCAGCTGCTACTGGGCTGTGGGCCCAGCTGCTACTGGGATGTGTGCCCAGCTGCTACTGGGGTGTGCGCCCATCTGCTACTGGGATGTGTGCCCAGCTGCTACTGGGCTGTACTGTACTACTGGGCTACTACTGTACCCTTAAACAATTTCAGTCAAAGTTATTTTTTCGGGAGATTTGAAAGCATATAGAAAAGTTGAAGTAAAGAAAAGTTCCTATATGAAAGTATATAGAAAACTGTGGTTACAAGTAAGGAAAGTTTAACCACCTCACCTTACGAGCAACAACACTTACTCTTCATTACTGTCATTCTTCACACAATGATTACTAAGTTCTCCAAACAGCTGTACACCAAGGAGACCATAGAGAGACATGAAGAACAGGAAAAAGAGTGTCACATTGTATATCTGTTGACTTGATCGCCTGAAAACAGAGATATCAATAAATAAATCTACAAACTAAGAGTGAACACAGTACAATATCTCAAAATATTATTAATTCAAGTTCACAGTAATCAGAAGTGTCATCTTAAAGGATGGGCACAGTGGGCAGTTGCCCAGGGGCCCCATGATTCTAGAGGCCACATGCTGATACATTATTCAGGAGAGATCTCATGGCTAAGTGGATAGTTTCTCGACCTCTAGCTGGTAAGGCCTCGGATCCAAATCCCTTTCCAAATTATACTTATAATATAAATAATTTGTGCATAACTATCTGACTATAATACTACACTTAGGGAATTTATCAAGACACATCATCTTGGTAGGGGCCCCAGTGCATTGCTTTGAACAGAGCCTACAGTGCTGTTATGAAGGCCCTGGTTATTAGTCATATAACAAATACTTACTTGACAATTTGTTTTAATCTGTTTTTTGGCATGGAAAATTTAAGGAAAATGCGTATAAGACGGACAACAATGAGCGGTCTTGGAGCACGGAGGACTGATAAGTAGCTGTGAGTGTCCACCCAGTCAGCCATTTCAAACATCTGCAGAATGACCGAGATCCATAAGAAGAATACCATACTTGCATCATATTGACACCATCGATCCTTCAGATAAGGTATCTCACCCTGTAGGAAGAAACAACATATTGTGAGTTATATCCTATACTGACAATTATAATAATCATATATTAGTTGATGAAGTTTACAAGAAGAGAATTAATGAATGAATGTAAGTGTAAAAGCGATTTTTACACAAAAACAACCTAGAACAAAATTGAAGTAAATAAATAAATAATAAATAAATAAATGTTTATTTAGGTAAGGTACATATATACAAGAAATTTTTACAAAGATTGGTGGACTTGTAGATAGAGCTAGTACATACAATGCCTAAAGCCACTATTACGCAAAGCGTTTCGGGCATGAAAAACTTAAATGACTAAAGCTTAATACTAATTGAGCATAAAGAGTAAAATGAAAATAAGAAATGAAAACATAGCTGAAAAAGCAGCACAAATACAATTCTGTCGACAGACAGCGCTCTTTAAAAAAACCAGCGTTGAATGTAATGAAACGCCATTTTCTAGGTGAGTCCCGGAGGCTCCCCGGAGCTATCCCAGGCTGATATGCTAATGTCAGACTTTGGCATCAGTCATGTGTATGGAGTTCTTAGGCCTACCGGGGACCACGACCAGAACCGGGCCCCCTCAGAGAGGCAAGGGGAGCAATGGCCTATAGAAGCCCCCGTGTGGTTGGAAGCATTCTATGTCTGCCATCGTCCGGAACAAGCACCCAGAAAGGTAAGCGCCCCAAAACAAACCCCTATTCTGGTTAAAATTGCTACCAAAAACCGAACTAGTGGATAGAACTCCCCAACCGAAAACAAGCAAACTAGTGTGACGTCACACACCGCCGCGCCGCTGTCTGCGCAGCTCCCCCCTCCCCGGGAGGGGGAAGGGGGAGCCCCAGACCCCCCGCGCCGGCTACCCACACCTCAGTTCTTGAGGCTGGATGTCAAAAACGCGAAAAACCGCCGACCGGAGGGAGGGAGGGATGCCGGGGAGCCTCCGGGACTCACTCAGAAAATGGCGTTTCATTACATTCAACGCTGGTTTTCTGGGGGAGCCCCGTCGGCTCCCCAGAGCTAACTACCCACAGACAGAAAAAAGAGGGACTTACCCGGGAGGCGGTCGTCGCTCACTCCTCAACTCGAAGCCGAGACAACTGGCTGCAACCGCCGACCCAAAGCAACACAGGCCCGATGGGGCCCAGGGACATTCACAAGGTAACGAGCAGCCAGGACCCTGTTCGACCGCCAAAATCCCCGCGCCCGAATATCAGACCGAGACATATTCCCAAAGACGGCAGCAAGAGCCGCGAACTTACGAACGTCATGGGACACCAACAAGGAGGCCACCTGATCACCATAGAGATGATGATAGACTCGAGTCAAAAAAACCATACGCGAAGACTCGACGAGAAGATCGAACCAGCCACGTGACGTACCAGCCCGATCTGCTGAAAAAGGCGGAGCCGCGGGAAAACCCTCGGGTTCGGAAACCGAGCAACCAGCGCCTGAAACCAAGGGTGGGCCGGCCACCAAGGGGCCAGAAGGACAACCCTCCCCCGGTAAGTCTCTAAGCGAGTCAGGACCTGGAGCAACAGCCGAACCGGGGGAAAGAGGTACAGGAACCCCCACCTCGACCAGTCTAGCCGAAAGGCATCGACCCCGACGGCCTCGTGATCGGGGAAGGGCGCCGCATAAACGGGAAGATGCCACGACCAAGCCGATGCAAAGAGGTCCACTTTGGGATGCTCGAACGTCTGGCAAAGCCAACGGAAGGACTCGTCATCGACCGTCCACTCCGTGGAGAGGGGAACGAAGCGAGACAGGGCGTCGGCCAAGACGTTGGACACGCCCCGTACGTAAACCGCCAGGAGAGCCAAACCCCGAGAACTCAGCAGACGAGTCACCCGAAGCGACCAACCCCAAAGAGACAAGGACCGCATCGAACCCCCGCGGTTCAGGCAATGAACCACCGGAGAGCAGTCCGAATGGAGCCGAATCGTCGATCCGCGGGCCACCCGAATCCTCCCCAGAGCAAACCACACTGCCGCGAACTCCCGCACCGTGCTGTGAGCTCGACGGAAGGACGGATCCCAACGCCCCTGGCCGGCCTGGTGAGCACTGGTCACAAAACCCCAGCCGAGAGACGACGCATCCGTGTACACATCGAGCGAGGGCTCGGGTAGGCGCCAAGGCACTGAACCCCGAAAAACCCGAAGAGGAAGCCGGTGACGCAGCAACTGACGCAAGGCCCCCGGGGGTCGAACTCTGCGATCGCGAGAGAGGCGGAAGGGGGAACCCCGAAGGAACCAGAACAGCCGTCGAAGCCAAACCCGACCCGGCGGGTAGACCACCATCGCGAAGTTCAGGCTCCCGCACAGCCCCTCGAGCAACCGCCGGGTGACCCGAGGGCCCTCCAGAAACAGACGAAGGCGGGACCGCAGCCGCAGGAGAGACTCCGGAGGGAGAGACAAGGAGGCGGTTCAAGAGTCCCAAACGAGACCCAGCCAAGTCCGAACCTGAGAGGGAACCAGATGGGACTTCCTCCAGTTCACCAAGAACACAAACTCTGCGAGCTGGGAAAGACCCAAATCCCTGGCTAGCAAGCAAGCTGACTGGCTGGGAGCCCAAACCAGCCAGTCGTCGAGGTAGGCCAACACCCGAACACCTAGGAGACGCAAACGAGCCACCACAACCCGTGTAAGGCGCGTGAACACGCGAGGTGCCAGGTTCAACCCGAATGGGAGACAACGAAAGCGGTAACTCAGACGCCCCACAATAAAACCGAGCCAGTCCCTGAACCGCGGATGAATCGGGACATGCCAATAAGCGTCCCGGAGGTCCAGGGACACCATCCAAGCTCCCGGCTCCAAGAGGAGCCGAACCTGAGACAGCGTAGTCATCCGAAAGGAGGGGCAATGAACCCAGGGGTTCAGACGGGACAAGTCCAGAATGAACCGCAGGTCCGCGCAGTTCCGTTTTGGAACCGGAAACAGACAGGAAACCCATCTGAGGGACGACGTCGTTTCGACGACACCCAAGCGTACCCACTCCAAGACGACTCGACAGAGCGCAGGGGAAGAAACCTGCCCTGCCAGCCCCGACCCCCCAAAGAGGGTAGGGGCCACCCAACGCCACCGCAGGCCGCGAGACACGACCCGAAAGGCCCACGAATCGTGGGACCAGGCGCGGGCGAACAGTGCAAGCCGCCCCCCCCATTGCCCCGTCAAGGGGGCAAACCGCGAAAGGGCCGGCAACCCTTACGAGACCCAGAACCCCGCACAGCGCGAACACCGCGCCGACCAGACGAGGGAGGGTCCGCAGCAGGAGCCAACCCCGAACCTGACACCAGAGGCCTACCACGACGAGAGGAACCCCGAGCGCTGGCACGACCTTTCCGGGAAGACCCACCCCGGGACCCCCGGAAAACCAACAAGTCCGACATCCGACGACAAGCCGCCGACGCAGCCTGAATAAACTGCGCCACGGCCAACTCCTCAAACAGAAGAGGACAAAAAGGTGAAGAACGCCTAAGAGCCAGAGCCCAAGCAGATTCCACAGAGGAACCCAGCACCGCCTGCTGACACGCGAGACGGGAAGCATAAAACAGGGAAACCGCATCCCGCAAAATCGGCGTGAACAGCTTCAACAAGGCAGCCGACGAACGCGCAGCCGAGGACAAGGTGCCGGACCCCGGGACGGATCCAAGCGTCCCCATATCCTCCACGAGCCAATCCGAAGACAGCTCCAGGAGGGAAAAGAACCGCAAGGCCGAAGCCAAAAGGCCCTGGGCGCGCAAGTCCTCCGCAACGAGCGCCGCTGAAAGGGAGGGAACCTGCACATGGAGCTGAATAACGCCCACATCGCGGGAAAGGGCAGGGGCAAACACGCACTCATTCAGGTACTCAAGTTCGCCCCCAAGGAAAACCTGAAGCACCGTGGAAGCTTCCCGCCACTCCAGCGTGCGGGAACGACAGAAGGAATGCAAGGAATCCAGACCAAACAAGGGGCAGTCTGCTAGTCAGGACGACTCCGGAACCTCGTAACGGAGCCAGAAAGGGAACGAAGTCCCAAACCTGAACGTGGACGGATCCATTTCCGAGGCATAATCCGGGTCACGCAGGAGGTAAGCTGCAAAGGCAAAGGCGAACAGCACCTAACCAAATGGGGTAGCCACAGGGCATTCGAGTGGGAATCCAACCTAGCATGTTGCAGCAACCTAACCAAGCTTACAACACAGATGCCGCCTGTACTCTGAGCAGTAATGACATCAGGAGAGTACTGGAGAACAAGCAGAGAATCACTCGCAAGACTCCGGGTCAAGGTGTCAGTGACCCAACAGGCAGCATGACAGAGGTAAAAATGGCGACTGTCACCTGGAGACAGGGGCACAGCAACCAATGATCCCGTACAAGACGGGTTGGAACCCGGAAGACACATTCAATGGTCCCCCGAGCCCAGATAGGGGTTTCCAGGGCCAGTAGGGTAAAAACTACGGGAAGCCCGGGCAAGGTGTTGCTAACCGGTTAACAAACCCAAACATAACAAGAGGGGTAGATCTTGGGAGCCGGTCGGCCGAGCGGACAGCACGCTGGACTTGTGATCCTGTGGTCCTGGGTTCGATCCCAGGCGCCGGCGAGAAACAATGGGCAGAGTTTCTTTCACCCTATGCCCCTGTTACCTAGCAGTAAAATAGGTACCTGGGTGTTAGTCAGCTGTCATGGGCTGCTTCCTGGGGGGTGGAGGCCTGGTCGAGGACCGGGCCGCGGGGACACTAAAAGCCCCGAAATCATCTCAAGATAACCTCAAGATAGATTATAGCACTGAAAACCCCTGAGACGTGTACAATCACGGGGGCCTAGCAGAGGGCCGCCAAACACTACCAGTGGAACTATAACCACCTTAGACAGACCCCCACCAGGCATGAAAAATTAAAAACAAAAGAAAAACCCCGCAAAAGTACACCGTCTCCAGAGGCAACAGAAACCGGCCGCCGCTTAGGTGGCAGGCTGCGCAACACCTTGATGCCCTAACCAGCACAATACCAATCCCTACCCAG